AGTTGGCCCGGGCCCGAGTTACCCCGGATAGTTCGGGTGTCCAGAGCCCCAAATCATCCGGGGTGACTCGGGTCAGGGCGGGTTCGTTTTTCGGGAGTCCAAGCCCGAGTTGGCCCGGACCCGAGTTACCCCAGAGAGCTCGGGCGCCCAATAGGTCGGGCATGCCCCTCCCTCAACAGGAGGAATATCCGAAAATAGGCAGCAGATCATACAGGGGACGATGCTTCGACGTGTCTGGCCATGTTTGAATCTTGTCTGACTGCTCTTGGACTTCCCTTCAGAATCCGCCTGTAGGAGGACCTGCCTGACCTAATGCCAGGCCGCCGCCGCTGGAGGACGCGTTCCAGCCCTCGCAGCAGGGCGCGCGATCCTTCGACTTCGAGCCCGCGTCTCGCCAGTCCACGCTGCCCGAGCTCGAGGCGGGCGGCAGGTCCCCAGCGGCGACGGCGAGCGCCGCCTTCCGCACGGAGGCCTGCGGCGACCACGACCACCTCGGCGGAGCGGTCGGCAGGCAGGGCCGCTTCTCGGCGACAGCGGCGGCGGCCAGCGCGGTCACGGTCACGGCGCCCTCCTCCCCGGTGCGGAGCGCCACGCAAGACAGCAAGCTCAGCAGCGCCGCGGGGGCGGGCGGTGCGTCTCCGCAGACGCCGCACTCGTCATGGATGATGCGGCATCCGGCCCACCACCTGGCGACGCAGAAGCTGCAGGAGAGAGAGGTCGGACGGGGCCAGGACGAGGATCAATCCGTTCCAGAGCCTTCTGGAATGCGCTCAGAGCGTTCCAGAACGCTCTGAGAAGGCCGCGGCGCCCGAGACGTCCTCCAGAGCGGTCGGATCTCAGAGATTCTCGACTCATCCCCGCCCGATTTGACCCTCGTCCTGGCTGTGTCTCGAGAGGGGCACGAGCCAGCCACGCAGTCGCTGCTCGCGCCGCCGACGCCGTCGCTGCTCGCTGCGCGCATGCTCCGGCCGCTGCAGGTCGGTGCCGCTGGCCACCCCTCTGCGGAGCTCACCAGCCTCGAACTTATCCCTATCCCTAAGATTGACACGCCGAAAGGCGATGGCAGTCTTAGGGATGCGCCCTCAAAAACTGAGGGAATCCCTAAGACTGGCATCGTGATGGGGCGATGCCCAGCAAAGGGATAGGGATATGTTCCGGGCTGCTTAGGAGCGCGACTCGCCAGCCCTGCGCCCGTCGGGCTCGTCCACCCCCCTGGGCCGCACGGGGCCCCGGCTGCGGCCCGACGCGCCGTCCCTGTCCGGCGGCCTGGCCGGCGCCTTGGCCCCGCTGCCGCGGGGCAGCTCTGGGCAGGGCGCCCAGCTGGCGCAGGACGCCAGGGGAGGAACAGGCACCCATATATGGTCGTCGTCGTCGTCGTCCTCCTCCTCCTCCTCCTCCTCCTCCTCTTCCTCCTCCTCCTCCTCCTGTTCCTCCTCCTCCTCCTCCTCCTCCTCCTCCTCCTCCTCCTCCTCCTCCCCCTCCTCCTCCTGCTCCCGCTCCCCCATCCCGTCTGGAGGGGGGGGAAGGGCCCGAGGGCCCTGGGACCCATCCCATCTGCGGGGCGGGGGGTGGCCCGTGGGCCCGGAGCCCGCGACCGTGTATGCCGCCGCCCTTGCCTCGCGTTCGCCTTTTCTGGTGGGGGCGCCTCCTGAGAGGCCCGCGTCGCCACCCCAGACGTCCGGCTGCGCCAAGATACGCTGCGATGCGTGGGCCCCCGGAGGTCTGGACCGCTTCCCTATGCCGGGCCGGCTTTTCGTCCCGAGTCGTTGCTTGGGCGCTCCCGAGGCCCAGGTAGGCCCCCCCGGAGGCCGAGCAGGTCCCCCAAAACGCCCGCTCCGTTTTTTTTGTCGGAGCGTCGCGCCCTTCAAGCAGTGGCGGAGCGTCCTGGCTTGCCCATAGCCCTACCAGACAATGTTCTAAGAACCTCGTGTGGTCCACACGAAAAGTTCCTAGGACATTTCTGGTTGGGGCTCTCTTTTTTTATCACATCCGGTTTGTGTTCTAAGAACATTGCTTTTTGTTATTAGAACAGTTTTAGGGGTCTAAGCACATTCCGTGGAACAGTCAACAAAAACCTAATAAGGACGCGCGACTTTACTCAGGGTACCCTTGCGTCCTTGCTCGTCCTTGCTCTTGCGTCCTTGGGGTTTTCGTCGTCCGCCGCTCCCAAAATCCCAACGTCGGCTTCCAAGGGTCTTGCGTCCTTAACGCGCGTCCTTATTAGGGTTTTTGATTATAGGGCTGCCGGCACGGGCGGCCCCTGCTCCACTCCCTGGGGCCGCTGGGTTCCCTTCCGGCTCCTGGGCCGCACGCGCCCCTGAGAGTGGCGCCCAGGGCGCCGCGGCATCGGTACCTTTAGAAGTCGGGCGTGTCCCCCTGGCATCGCTCGGACGCGTGTATTTTTCTCTTGGCGAGGACCCTTGAGGAACATCCTGGATCATCGAGCGATCAAACACACGCACGAAACCGACAAGTGCACGAGACATGGATGTCCGAGCGACGGCAAGTCCCTCTAGAGGAGGAATGCTCAAAAGTAGTCAACAAAGAGCCTGGGGACTCTTTTTGTTTGACTACTGTGGAGCACTTTGGGGGTATTTGTTGCGTAGTTGTAATTTTTCGCCCCGAAATCCCCCTGTTAGGGGGGCAGGCCCGACTGAACGGCACCTCTCACGTGTCCCCCCCCGGGGCGGCGCGGCGCCCCGTGTGCGGCCGCCCCGCCGCGCCCACGGGGGCGCTCGACGACGACGGCGACGACGACGACGACGGCGACGACGACGACGACGGCGACGGCGACGGCGGCGACGGCGACGGCGACGACGACGACGACGACGGCGACGACGACGACGGCGACGGCGACGACGACGACGACGACGGCGACGACGGCGACGACGGCGGCGATGGCGGCGACGGCGACGACGACGACGACGACGACGGCGACGGCGACGACGACGACGACGGCGACGGCGACGACGACGACGACGACGACGGCGACGCCCTCGGCGCGCACGCGCTTCCCCAGGACGCGGCCCTGGGCCTGGGGCCCCTGCACCGCGGGGAGGTGGAGGCCAGCGGCCGCCTCGAGGGGGGCCACGAGTCGCCTGCGGAGGGGGGCCGCGGCAGCGGCGGCAGGCGCGGGCGGCGCGTGGCCTCTGGCCCGGCCATGTGCGGGCAGGAGATCAGAGGAGGAAGCCACGCACCCATACCCAGACCCCCCTGGGGCAATGACAAACATCATGAAGGGAGGTTCTTCCATATCTTCGGCCTTTGGGGGCCCTCACCGGGCCTCGGCACCCTCGAAACACGACTCAGGATGAAACACGGGTCCCGGGGAATGGGTCGGGACCTCGGGGGGTCGACGTAATGAACGACTCATGACGTCGGGGGTCTGGGTACCTCTACCCTTCGCTCGTCTTCCCCTTCTTGGGCCTCCTGCCCGAGAGTCCTTCGTCGTCGCCGCTGGATTCGCCGCGAGGTTCGGGTCAGAACGCACCCCGGGGGAGGTCCGGGGAGTAGCGGTAACGGTACCTTTGGGCTTCTTCCCCCAGGAGAGCGACCACCGGACTTCCTTCTTCATGGCGAACACGGATATCACCCCGCCGAAGCGGCGCAGCTCCGTGGGGGGCACGCTCGTTCGCAGGACCAGCAAGGGCAGCTACGACCTGAACCACCCACGCTGCCCCTGGATGGCGTCCATGCGCCGGAGTGCCCTGGAGATCCTGGAGCAGAAGGAGCATAGGGGAGCATCAGTTCAAGCAGTTTTTCCGAAGCAGATCCTCAGCGGCCTCGACCCTGAGCGGATCGTCTCCCAGGGTTCTCAATCCTCGTTCGGTTGTTCCCTTTACCTAGCCCCCAGGAGTTCGACCTCGCAACCGCCCTGCTCATAGTCCTGAACGCGATCCTCATGGGCGTGCAGGCCGACTTCGCCGCGCACGCGACGCGCGAGGGTGGCGCCCGGGAGCCGACGGTGCTGCAGGTCGGTGCTCGGATCTTCGCTGCCGTCTTTGTGGTGGAGTTGGCCCTGCGCCTGTTCGGGTACGGGGCCGCGTTCTTCTTTATGCCGGGCTGCTCCTGGAACTACTTCGATTTCGTAGTGGTCACCCTGCAGGTGTTCGAGGAGGTCTCCGCGTACATGGCCGACAACCAGCCCGGCCAGCACACCGGCTTCAGCTTCCTGCGCATTCTGCGGGTGTTACGGCTGCTGCGCGTTTTGCGGCTGCTCAGGGTGCTGAGCATGATACAGGAGCTGCGCACCCTGGTCAACTCAATCGGGAAGACCATGCCGTCCCTGATCTGGACGGTGTCTCTCCTCATGTTGATGATCTACACCGCGAGCATCTGCTTTACGCAGGTGGTGGCCGATCTCGCCGAGGGCGACCCCGAATCCGTGGCAGTGGGCACGGACACCCACAAGTATTACGGCTCCCTTTTTCGCTCGATGTTGTCGCTCTACCAAGCAATTACTGGTGGAGTCAGCTGGCATGTCCTGATCGACCCACTTTTCGCCCAGAACTCCCCAGCAATGGCATTGCTGTTTTGTTTCTACGTTTCGTTTGCAGTCTTAGCAATGCTGAATGTGATCCAGCTGCCTACGGCAAACCCTCCCACCGTGCCAGTACAGCAGCGCAGCATGACTGAGGTCCAGCTTCAGACCGCTACAGTTCGGCGCCCTGTCTGAACTGGCGCAGGTCTTGAACACTCCCTGCCCGCCAGCAGCCTCGTTCTCGTCTTCATTGCTCCGCCATCCTCTCGGTTTGGCATCGCTCGAACGAGTGCATTCTTTCTTCGGCGAGGACCAGGAACAACCTGAGTCATCGAGTTAACATTACGTCAGGCCTGTCCCTCTACAGGAGGGACATTCAACAATAGCTACAAATAGTCAGGGGACGGATGTTTGACTATTTCTGGCCATTTTGGAATATTGTTTAACTATTTGTGCTTTTTTCGTCCAAGATCCGCCTGCAGGGGGACATGCCCGACCTCACGCCATTGCTCTCCCTCGG